AGGTCTGCCAGTATGCCTTCCTTTGTGAGTAAGTCATAAGCGGCATTTGAACAGCAAAAGCCGTGGGGTACTTCTACCCCGGAAAAATCCTTGAATTCTTCCGGGCCCGAATCTGAGCAACTATGTGCTATAAAAACAAAAAAAGTGAAATCAATAATTTAAAAGAATAAAAATAAAACAAAAAAAAATAATAAAGAGTGCTTACATGTATGAGACAATTCTCCCAGGCCTCGTTGGATCATTACTCTCTGCTGGCAGAATAGTAACAAAGTGGGTGATAACAGTTCTGTTAGAGCTAATATTTCAGGTAAATCTGGAGAAATTTCAAATCACCAACCCACTAAAACTTACACTTTTCCCAACCACGCCCATCAGTAGTTTACTATGAACATGATGGGGTTAATCCACCCACGAGAACGGCTTAAAAGAGCAAACATAAGTCGTCCGCCTTAAGCCATAGCAGACACCCAGACAATGAAAAATATACATAGTTTATGACCATTCTGGTTACACATACAAGTCCTAATAATTCCGAAAAATAACGATAAAGTAATCAAGTGGATAAAGTTTAAGTCAACGCATCTTTAGCCGAGTGACCGTCACTGCTTTCTCACAGGGCTCATTGAAAACAGCGATTGGGAGAGGTGAAAAGGCCAGTAAAAAGTTGAAATCAGAAAATCCCATACACAATGCCCGTGGGCAAAGTACTGAGTTATTCCATGTACATAGATATCAAAAGAAAAGAAAATTGGCATTGACTTATAGTTATTAGATGCCATTTGTCTACAACATTAATGCCAACCAACATCATATGGAACCTTGCTCCTTTACAATAGCACCGTATTCGGGCGGTTTCGAAAAAGAAGTGATTTTTCGTGTAGAGTAATTATTTTCGGGAGTATAATGAATGACATCACCTGCTTCAGCTATTTTTGCTTTACTGGAAGTGATTTCAAGGGCACATTAAGCGTGTGAAAAAAAAAGGAATTCCTGATATCATAGACAATATCTGCGAAGGCTTGGTAGAATTTATGCACATCGACTTAGAGTATTCGGAACTTGAACAGATGGGCATGGCGCGATTTTTTGCGATGAGAGCCTTGTTAATGCGCTTCTGTCCCTTTATCGCCAAGTCGATTACGGTAGGTTGATATTTACAATAAAGGATAAAGGACAAAGTTTTTAGCGAGAATCAATCCTGTCTGAGGAATGCCCCCCGCTCTTGACTTCCATTCAGAATCGTAGTGGCGTAATGAGTGCGTATGTGGCCTATACAATAACTTGCGGCGGCCAGCCGATGTACAAGTCAGTGTTTTATCCTCCCAGACAAGTCTGGTACCAATTTACCGACCCAGGAGGGATGGAAGGCTTGATTGGCCTGGGCAGATATCGATCCGGAACACGAACCCCTGACAGTGCGTGTGAGATAGTGTGCCACTTGCCACTACACCACCTCTGCCCGATATTTATTTATCGCAACGATAGATCAACAAATTTACTGTTGATGTTTACGGTAAGAATGGATAGGGATACGGATATTCAACAATCCTTAACGTAAAGCCTCCGTAAGGATTGCTGAATATGAAGATGATTTCTAAAAATTTTTATCATGCTGAAAATGGCTTGATGAGAAGCAATCTGGGTAAATGAGCCAGAAAGGGTCTGCCCCAACTACAAAATCTTCTTTTTGCAGCGTATTCGAGTCAAGTTGCAATTTTTCCGGGGGAAAAAAGTATGGAAATATCACTCCTCTCCAATATCTGGCGTGGCAAAATCTTAACAATCCAACCGAAGCTACTAAGTTACGGCGTATTCCAATTTCGCACTTATGCGTTAAGCTGCTGAGTGAAGCTTGCGCAGGTTTCACACGACTCCTCAATTTTGAGAAAATCTTACGTCATCTACGGATATTCCAAGGATTTCTCAATTCATGGTCTATATTTGGCTCCCAAATTACTACTGTACTCAGAATGGCATTAAAATTCAAAGAGCGAAAAAAAAACGCGACCAGTCCTATCAATTGCTCTGCTTATACGTCATGGCGAAGGTCCAGGACAATAAAGGAATATGAATAGCCTTAGCATGGCAAGTAAACGCAGCAATGCACCTCCTCCTGAGGCTCAATACCTCGATTGGACTCCGTTATTATCATAATAGATGAGAAGTAGCTAGAAGTGAAAAAGAATACAATGAGCTGCAGATAGTGAGGCATTGAAGGCTACGCCAAAAGCTACCCGATCTGGCAAAAATTGATGCAGGAGATTCTTCACGAGCACCGATTACTATGGCACGCTATTCGTCCTATGTGAAATATTTTACATCTTACGTTTATCTGCAGGAGGTAGGCGAAACCTTTTGTGAGGAAGTCTTATGCTCAACTACTTGGGATCAGTGGCATACCTCATGGAACAAGATCTCAAGTTGCTGTTGAAGCCTCCCCCATATCAGCCTCATTTCCAGGGATAAATCATTGCAGAATGGGGAAATGCTACGTGCTCTTGTAGAAAAACGAATCGCTCCAATTAAGCACAGCTTTGCTGAGGTAATTAATTTGGGCTACAAAGATCCGTTCCGAGAGCAGGGAGTTCGAGAGGCGAAGACGGGATTTACACGTGGGAGACACGAGTTCCATATAAATAAGCCATATGTTTACTGTCTACCACGCAGTTTACCATCTACTGGACAAATTTAAGAAACCAAGAGCACCTACCTAAGTGCCGCCTGAATGCTACACTAAGGGGAATGTCAACATACAAGGCTTGAGCCCTTTTTGTTAGCAATATGCCCGAGGCAAATCCAAGTGCATCACGAGCTCTTTCCACAGCCTAATCAGAAGCTCGAGTTACTAATTAAGTTGGAAAAAAGAGGTTCCCATCTAACATGAAGCCATACTGCAATGCTGACAAGTGAGTTTCACGATTGGAGGCCGAACCAAAAAAAGCGTCCACATGGTACGAAAGTGCATAACATAGTTACCCTCGCATCAGAACTGGGTCGAATAATCGTGCTAGGACCCTCATACTTCGAAAATGGAGTGTCCTGACCCAATAAATCAGCCTGGTTCCATCGCGTCTTTCTTCACTCTCCCATCCGAACTTTGATCTTTTTGGCAAAGTAGGTCTAAAAAGAGGTCCCATGGTCTTTGAAGGTCCAGGTCCGTATTATCGTTAAGTAAATAGCCTAGCAACGAACGTACTGCTAAACATCTCATTAATCATTATAATGGCGGAAGTGAGGGCGTAAACTGAGAAGTGCATATAAGGATGAAGATTGAGTCGATGCCTCCAAGCTCCATACCAAATAGTTATCTAGCGACTAGAAAGTAAGCAGGTCTCCGTTGTGGATCGAAAGCCAACAGTGTAAAACCGCATAAACAAAAAATAATAGAAATGAGCTGGAGAGGGTTGAGGGATGGAGGGGACGATGACGGCGATGACCACACGATGTCAACGACAAGTGTGTGCCTACATTCATTATCATTTTCAACGTTGAACATTGACACTCTACATGTGACGTGAAGAGGCTACGACACATTGCTGTCACCGGGAAAGGGACGTGGTGAGAAGGGCGTGGTCCAGAGGGTGGAGGGTAATTTTATTTGCTTAGAGATATATATCCTTTCATCCTCGGTGTAAAGTGCTTCAAGACGTAAAAGGGCGGAAGGGGACTATGCCTTATACGCCGAACACCGATTTCTGGTGTTTATATGACAGCTGAAAAAGATGAGTGAAGTACAAAGCTGAACTGTTCACTGCTGAGCAGACTCAAGGGATGCGACACTAATTTGACGTTCATTAAAATTCAAAAATTCTCATTCAGTGCGTAATCAGCCATGCTAACTTAGGTGTAACTCAAAAACAAAGCAACATCGCTTTTTTCTGGATGGGCTGCTCACCAGAAAAAGTGAACCTGATGGGTTGAAATCTCCGGTAGGGTTGAAACTTCAATCGTTCTTGCGCCATGAATGTGATAAAGCTTGGCCAACGTCTTAGTCCCCTCATAACCATTCCTTAGTTCCATGTACGGCTTTCTATAAACCTCGGCATAATTGTATCATTGAGTTTACTGCTTTCTTGAACTCTTCACGAGGTTTTTAAAGTATTCCTTATTAGGCTGACGTTTCGGCGGAATCGCCTTCTTCAGAGCCTGAAAGGATCAGCAATCACGCGTGAGCTACGACCTTATATAAGGCTGGCCTTCTCGCAGAGGCTTTAATGACGACATACCCCAACTGACACTGGTCGGTTGGTACCATCACTCGCTGGGTGGTTTCGAAGAATCCACAAAGCTACGGTGAGTGGTTCTCCTTTCAGTCACTTGTGTGCCCTGGGGGTCTCGAGCTTTAGTGGGGTTGGTGGAGACGTTTGGTCGGATAGTCACAAATTGTTATGATCCTTTCAGGCTCTGAAGAAGGCGATTCCGCCGAAACGTCAGCCTAATAAGGAATACTTTAAAAACCTCGTGAAGAGTTCAAGAAAGCAGTAAACTCAATGATACCATTCCTTAGTCTTTGAACGTGAACGGGACACTACTACACCGGCATCTGATAGACTGGGCGAACGTCGGAGATTGACGGAATTTGCATCTTCATAGGGCTTCCCACACGCTCAGAATATCAAATTAGCATATGTGCGGTGCTCCAGAATGAAATCAGAAAAGCACAAAGCGATTGCTTGGAAGGGTGATGGGGGGAACCACAAGGAGGAAATAGCTGGGCTCAAATAGTGGGATACTCGTCGAGTAATCAAAATGAGCACATAAGTTAGCACTCAAAACAGCTATTAAAGAGGGGCAGGAAAATAAAGTAAGAAGGCAGTAAGAGCAAATGAGTCGCGCTAGGCCTCCACCTTCACCACTATAAGCACCCATAAATATGAAAAACGCACGAACGCACGTTCAATGAAATTAAGCATCGTTCTAGGGGGGGGGGGCCAAACGGAACCCAAACTTCGGCTACCTTCGTATTCAAGGCTAGGAATGGGTTCATAACGAAGAAGCTTCTACTCGGTCACTTTATGATTTGCCATGGTCAAGTCTGGCATCACAATACGCACAGGCAGTGAACATAGGTGTGGATTGTCGTTGCAAATGTACTGAAATAAGATTACTCAGATAAGAGCTGGGATCCATTACCACATCTATTCGGAGCATGTTTCCACTCAAGGGCGTCCTTGCTCAAGGAACTCGCTTCCCTATGAACTTGTCCACTCAATATTCACCCTGCTCCCCAATTTATTTAACATATGACCCAACAAGCTTTCCATCCCTCCCTGGTCGGTTTATTGGTACCAGGCATGTCTGGCAGGATAGAAACACTGACTTGTACATCGGCTGGCCACCGCAAGTCATTTATAGGCCACATACGAATTCAATACACCGCTACGATTCTGAGTGGAAGTCGAATCGTGGGCGCATCCCTCTAACGGGATGGACTGATGCCCCAAGACTTTATTCTTTTACTTTATCCTCCAACTAAAAGTCTTCAAAAAAAAAAAACTAATGATCAGTGCCTTTGGAAAATTCCCGACTCACAGAGACATTCGGAAAAATCTCCCTGGAATCCACTGATGACTCATGTTTCCATGCAGGGCCTCTATTGAGTACGTCAACTCCTTGGTAGCATACAAGACTAATTGTATGACGAATACGCTTTACCTGCACTTTGGAATCCCAAGCCTCCCACCCAACAGACAGCGCAGCCCGTTCAATGATGCGATTCCGCTTCCTTTTCGTCCTGTCATTATGTGACGGCACGTTCCATTGCAGACGTGTTCGCATAGTCGCATAATAATTATCCCAATCAAAATGATGAATTAAGTCGAAGAGCCGATCAATAAGCGCAATTTCAGTTGAAAATTAGTCAATTAGTTCACACTCTCATGAGTTTCGTTCAAAGGTAATGATAGTTGACCCCAACGCGATAGCCGAACTCCCGAATCTTGAAACATCGAAATGAAATTTGAGGATTAGAAGCACGAAATGACCCAGAGGCGCTCGTATACTGGGCCACCATTAAGATTCGTAGTGGCAGTTGGGTGCATACATGGATTACACTCCTAATGAAATACAGGAACAGCTGATGTACTTACTGGGCAGTGCTTCTATCCTTATGTCCGATAGCAATGCACTAACTCCGGATGGAGGTCCCATGGTATGAGCGGAAGCCACAACAGGATTCGATAAAGGACCAGATGTGGTAGAGAGATAGCACTTAGCACTACACCACGTTTGAACAATATTTTACTCGCCCTAACGCCTCAGGGCAAAGAAAAAGAAAGATCAGTAGCGCGATGAGCAGGGAGGATAACGGTAGTTGCCATTCCCTGATAAGCAAACTCCATCTTCAGTTGGTGTAGGAGCAAACGGCGGACTATATTACAGGTGGGTCCCGTGAATTGAACTTCGGATCGATACTCACCCACATCAATCGAGCCCTCAATCCATCAGTTAGCTCTCAATCCGTGGGTCGGTTAATTGGTACCAGAGTTGACCGGAAGGATAAAAGCCCTGACTTGTACATGACCACATACGGACCCAACACGGTCTTGTTCAAAGGTCAGGTAACCTAGTTTTCCCAGAACGGTTCCTACAGCACACTTCGATGAAGTTAAGAAAGTAAGCAACTAGTTCTAAACCCCGAAACCTCTCTATTCCTCACTTGATTATATGAGATGCCCGACCAAATTGAACCGCAACAGGCAGAATCAGCTGTGTCCTCGTCACGCGACGAAAGGGTGAAAGGACTTGGATACCCGTGAATTATAATATTGTAAGAGGTTACCTATAATTTCAATTAGATTATTTCGCATTTTTATAATGACAGCTGCTCTTAGACGCCTTCGTTCATGCCCTTGGAAAATGCAATGAAGCAACAGCTTTCTTAATTGGTAGCAGTAGCAAACAGCTACATAGGACTTCCTTTCCTAGTAACATTCTGACTAATCCGATTGTGAGAACAGTTTCAATGGAAAGCTCCTCCTTTCCAAAGTAAAGTCAGCCCTCGGCTTAATCGAATCATGAACAGCCAAGGAAAGCTAAACCACCTTGAAGTATTTAAAGATGGTAAGTTGCTCGAATGCGAAGGTGGTATAGTGGGAAGTGGCGCACTAACACACACACATGGTCACGGGTCCGGATCCAGGACCGATGTCCGCCTAAGCCAACCAAGCCCTCCTTCCCTTGGGGGTTATTTAGCTGGCACCAAACGTACCTAACTCGTCTGGGAAAACTTGTACATCGTGTGGTCACCGCAATTCACTGTATAGTCCACACGCATTCAATACGCCGTTCTAATTCTCAATGGAAGTCGAATGTGTGGCCGCATCTCTCAGACGGGATTGATTAACGCCACAAGACTTAATCCTTTTCTAGACTTTTAAGTTGCTCAAAGCAATGACATTATAAAAAGGGCTCTGGTTTGTAAAATGGTGTATTGCACAAACCACAAACTGCAACTACAAACTATAACTAAGAGAAACTGCCTAGAGAATTAACAAGTAAGGGATTCAAATATGTAATAAAAACATCGTGCTGAAAAGTTATGCATCCCATTCCACCTGACGGGATAAAAGCATGAAGAGCAAAGAGAATGGGAACCGCTTACTCTTTCTCTGACAGTGGAATGATACCTAGTAATGTCAGCGAATACAAAATTTCAACGTGGTTCGAAGTTAACAGAAATGGTCCGTACTGAGACTTGGGGAAAATCGGTGCTAACCGATGCTTCGAAGACCTGAAAAGGATCTTCGGAAATGTCTCAGAGTACACTCTCAGACACTTCTACAGAACTAGATAAGACGCAGGTGAGTGAAAGTATCAGAAGATTGATCAGTGCAAAACACTTCTTCGGTCTTCCACACGATTAATTCTCATCGTTTAGATAATAGTGACGTCCTTACGAAGGGCATCGTAATGCATCCAGAAAAAACCTTATATTGCCTTATCGAACAAGTTTACTACAGTAGAAGCGCTTTTTTCGAACGACGTTTTAAAGGTTAGCTACTTCGCTGAGATCTCCTACGTTGGAATTCTGAAAGGTGAAGTAACTAGCCTATGGGCACCCGATCGGGCAGTTCTTTACCACACCTGTATAGCAAGCAGCATAGGATACTGCGCACGTACCTGGGCTTCACTTATAGTACCATTATCAACCATAAGCAACAAACACAGCTTTATTTTGTTGACGAGAGTTATTGACTTGAAAAATTCAAGCATATCAATGAGCCAGCTTCTGATCTTCACTGAAACAATGAAGCTGCCAGGTTGAGGAGAGAAGTCATAAATTTTGCGCCCGGGCAATACAAGTACAGTTGCTATACAAGAAACCCAAAGTGAGCCCGAAGACCTGAAGAGCTTATCTATGAGCGAGATTGACCGAGCTTTTCCATCTTCCCAGGCGACGCCTACAACCTAATTTTTCTTTATTTCTGCTACCTCTTACCTCAACCCTTTGGTTGATTGTAGTCGTTTACGGTGTTGTTTATTGCCTCTTCCGCTGTGAAAAAAAGTAACAACCGAGTGACGCGTTTTGATGTCAGAAGCTTCACAAAAAAGGAAACTGATTGCGTGGGATGTTCGGTCGTCATGGTGCTACAACTAAAGAGACTAATTGAAGAATTCTTCGACAGTTTGTGTGAGCAGACTTTGTATGGGACTTCAGAAAGAAAGGGACGACAAAGCTTCATCGGCAGTAGCAGTAGTCATTCTCTGTGGTCTTTCTCCCCATGACTCAAAAAGCAACAAACAGGTACACAGACAAAGGTTTAATATCCAGATCACAACTTCCAAAAACCCTTGTATACAGTCGTCGGGAAGAATCAGTTTGACTTCCTATACTCCCACACAAAACTATCAATTAATTTTGCCCTTAAACCTTTTCTGTACAGGATAGGCGGAATGAACTCACTCTCAAGAGGGAGGATATTCGGCGTAATATCACAAATTAAACGGCTTCGCTTCAATTAAACTAAAGTACATATCGATAAAACCTCTTCAGGCTTCTCACTAAAATATGAACTATGCAGTTAATATGCTAGGAAAAACAGAACAAACGTTTTGGACCCTTGTCGAGATCCCATTGTTTACTCCATTGTTGTTTTCCCTCTAAAGCCAATGGGCCAAAAATCAGAAATATGAGAGTAAGATGGAACTGAAGGTACCTCGTGGAACGAACTCCCCAATTGCCTGTTCGAGGAACGGTTAGGGTACCTAGAAAAAGGATAAGGAAACCGATATACAGATTACTTAATGCTACTTGTTGATGGTATCACATAACATTTATCGATATCACTTGTAACTTCAAGGTCTTTATTTGAGCTTTATTAGGCAAACGCCCGGCGGAATCGCTTTTTCAAAGCCTGAAATGATCTAAGATCATCTAATAAGGATCTTTACAAAAATGTAGTGGTTACAGAGAAAAACAGATAAGGATGTAAACTGTTTTTTCTCTGTTAGCAGTGTCTTTTTGTTGACACTGATGTTGCTAAATTCTATTTCATCGTAATTAATGGCGAACATCCGTTGCTACGTGCTATCAACTTGGAACGCTCAACGATAGGCGAAATGGCCATCGCTTCAGAGACGACTGACCTGGAGCGCGTTTTGAGTCCCCAATCATGCGCATGGTATTGAAGTCACTCTTAGCAACCTCAACTCTCACTTATCTAAAAATGGTAAAAAACTCAGAAGGCCTGTATGCTTTTTGAAAGGCAGGATGTACATCCCTTGTCCGAGTACTATGATCCTCTCGGCTACACTCATAGGGATCTGTCTTGAGGATATAATTCACGGTAATTTCGAGGAATTGTAAAAAGTTGAACCCTGAAGTGATGTTCAGAATAGTGCACCGGAGGCGAAGAAAGCGAGAAAATTCAGTTTATGAGAGTTCACACAGCTGAAAGGGGGTTTTACGAGATAAAGACGACAGAAGTGGTAGCGAAGGGGTATTTGGACGAGATTTCAGTCGTGCGTAATCGCATAAAGGACTGGCTACAGGAACCGAAATATGCCGAAATTTGCTTTTCACTACGGCCAAGGGACAGGGCCCTAAGCCAATTAGGTTTATGAATTCTCAACATACACACTTAGTCCACATGGTGAACGTCCGTTGCGCGTGTCCATCGAAAATAGGTCACCCCGCCCACATCGCGCGCGGCGCACCCCAATGATGTCTCGAGATGACATTACAGTACCACCAAGTGTGAGTGGAGCGAACGATTTGCATTTGTCTATGTTATCTTCTCTTTGGCTGACTACCGTGGAGAAAGCGCAAATCGTATGCCCCGCTTACAGCAGCGACGTCTGTCAAGTATCGCGGGCTGACCCCCGCATGCGACGGCTGCGGCATGACCTAGTTTCGACGGACACGCGCAACGAAGCGCACCCAGTCCACTTCGAGTACTGTAGCTTCTACAAGGCCGTTAAAGCACGGCCACTTCGAGGAGTGTTATGCAATGGATATTCTATTATCAATATCATTTCCATTTATCACAAAATAGTGCGACTTTTCAAGATTAGATTGTTTTTGACTGCAGTAAGCACAACTCGTCGAAGCCAAAGTGAATTGGCACTCATTGCAACATATGTATGCACTTTTAAAAGCCCAAGTACGTCCAAGTTGAAGACTAATCCGAAAAAGTGATAAATTAACAGGAACAAAATCATAGTAACGATAGCCTTCATCGAAAGGCACAATGGTCACGAAAGAAAAACAATTTTTGCTCTGCATATGATCGATTGAAGTTCGTTGAACATGCTGATGAAAAAACTGTAGAATAAGGACGCAGTCAAAATGTTCTTCTTTGGGGAATTTGAAAGGCAGAGGCAGAGGGAGGGCAGACGATTAATTGGCTTGCCATACTAAAAATATGCACACTGAAAAGGTTGCACGTATGCTAATGCATCGTTGCTGCAGAAAGTGCTACATAGAAAAGGGAAAAACGAGGAACCAAAGCGAGTAGGAGTATACCGTGGCCCACCGAATGATATATTAAGCCATTGTAAGGGCATCCGTCATAATTACACGACGTGCAATTTTATTCGGTACAAGAATTAAAGAATGAGAATGAGAAGAGTGGGGGTGTAATGAGTAGGGCGTCGATGGTGAAGAAAACCATAAAAAGAACATCAAAACCTGAAAAGATCAGCTCCTTTTGTGACCGTACATCACCGTTGCAATAAGGGTTTGAGGAGGATGTGAGTACGTTCCCCCGAAATCGCGTCACTTCGCGCTCGCCGCACCCGATCGCGCGCATTCGCGCGCTGTGAAGGGACAGGTTTGAACTCCCAGTGAGAGCATACCGTAGCCGCCGCACAACCACTGCCGCTTACCGTGGAAGTCCGGAAGAAGTACAGGTACCCGTGATTTCACGGCAATCACCGTAACTATCCATTAAAAATTCAAATCTTACTCCTCCACTGCTCGCTCCAACACGCGCCAGTTGCAGTACGACGTTCAAGTACGAGACCCCTCACCTAAGCAAGGATCGTACGGAAAGAGTTACATTCCATGACGCCACGCTTGACACCACCTTGACAGCCCTAAACGAGTATTCAGAACTGTCTTCGGGAACATTAGAGGGTAGACGAATGGCTCCTCCTTGGAACTCTTACTTCCCCCAAATTCGGCAATTACGGTCGCTTATTTTGACAAGTTTTGAGGGAGTTTTTATTGTTATTTTCTACCCCTCAGTGCCGAACAGCCTTTTACCAACATTTCTGAGCTCCACTACGCCCACCCTATTAAGGCGTAGTACGTCTTATGGTAGATACTACGTGAGCCATCAGCATAATAGGAGACAGCATGGCAAGACGAAACTTCTGAGGACCATTTTCAAAAGAGAAAAAAGGTGATAGAACATTTGCAAGCTGTCAACTATGATATAATGAACAGCGGATCCCTGTTATTGACTATAGTTTTTATCTGTCGCTAGGGTGTAGTTTGTCATGATGTCATATGTAGTCAAGAGGGCTTTTAGAATGAGCTGCAGAGCCATCGATTCCCTTTGAATGGCTTTCTGAGTGTATGGTTCAACAGAGCCCCGAAATTTCCATGGTAGGTGTAAGGTGCATCAGAAGAAAGGCTTTAAAAAAACCTGTGCAAGGCTTTCCATTTCTGTCTGGTTTTGCGCTTTTGTTTCAAAGAATAGAAAGGTGCTGACTCGACCAGTGGGTTTCTATCCGAGCTAGCCCTATAAAGGAATGGCCCTGAATGGTGGACCGGACAATATTTTCACCAAAAGCTGTTGAAATCTATGACGAAAAATAAATTAGAATGAATAATGTAGTAAAAAAACTTTTGAGAAAGAAGATCTACAGAATGTATTTGGACCTAGGCTAGAGATTCTAACGATCAAGTGCAACCACATGCAAAATAAGAGGTGTGATGCCACCGTACATGTGGACTCAAACTCAATTCGTCTAATGCGATTTTCGACTACGCCTTTTCCTGTACTACTCTCGAGAAATGATTATTCGAGTTGCGAGTTAACCAGCAGAGCAAGTACATTTTTGGACGCTCGAATGCGTCACATTGGCATGTACTGCCTCAACAGATGTGTTAGCATTTGAGCATTTTTATTATTCATCAACTGAAATGAATTCGCCATTAAAATGAGATTCTATTCATGGTGGACTCTAGTACAGCATCTGCTCCGCTCCAGCAACAGCGGTCATGTAATTGCTGAAGGGTCACAGTAGAATTTGCACTATCTACGGGCTCAAAGAGTATCATCCGCATGAACTAAACTTCCCTCTTCTAGCCTACCAAGTATTTTGTGTAATAATGGGAGTTAGGGCGGAGGTGGTGTAGTGACAAATGGCGCACTTCACACACGTATGGTCACGAGTTCGAATCCCGAATCGTTATCCGCTTAGGCAAACCAAGCCTACTATCCCTCCCGGGTCGGTGAAACGGTATCGGACTAGTCTGGTAGGATAAAAGCACTGACTTGTATTACCTGCCGCAAGTCATTGTATAGGCCACATCCGCATTCAATAAGTCTCTGCGATTCTAAATGGTAGTCGAGTGCGTGGACGCATCCCTCACACGGGATTAATCAACGCCCTGAGACTTATACTCTTAGAGTTCAATGCGAGTTATCTTTTAATTGTAATTTGAAAATTAATTTTGTAAATAGGTAGATTTATGCGGAGTTCAATGGACCGGAAGTCTCCGAGCCTGCTAGCAACCCAAAGTGTATAGGAATATACTTTTGCATAGATAGGCCACAAAGCCGTCGGAACGCTGGAATTTAGTTCAAGTTTTGGATGGCAAACGGATGGCATTAAGGCCAAGCCTATACTGGAACTTTTCTGACTCAAAAAAGGTCAGTTCAGTTCTAAACCAGAACCGCAGTGAGTGAACGGAAAGATGGAAAAGATTTTTCTTTCCTAACTAAATCAGCCAGCTGACACGCGAATGCGTGAGCCGTCCCATTCCTAATTCAATTTTAGCAAGCTTTCATCGCATATCGTCATGAAAACAACTGTTTTAGCTGCGAAGTAAGATTTAACCGGTAGGGTACCGGTAATATCAAAAAGTGGTGGTAAACAAACAAAAATGAAAAGTGCAGGGTTGAACAGCCGAACTGACGCTTCTGCTAGACAACCTTTTTCTGAAATAAACGGATTTGAAAACGGAAAATCATGCATTTCCCGTCACAAATTCGACAATTTAATTCGCCTCCCAAATTTTACTGATTTTTTTACATCCACTGAGTACTGTAGCGTGTTTCGCAAATACTGTAACTGCCCCAAAAATCCAAAAATCGTAGATGGTTGAACGGGTTACTGAATTCTTCACACCGTATGGTAACGGGTTCGAATCCCGGATCGATATACATATAAGTATCGATTGTGCTATATCGATATACATACTTTAATAACATCTAGTTTAAAATGAACAATGCAAAGCAGAATGGAACAGCATGAAGACTAAAGAACCAGCAGTTCACTCAGGCGTTCCATAGTGTTATTTTTGTCCCGGGCAATTATTACCTGCTTATTCTTATGAACGGTTTCTAACTGGTAGCACAATTGTATAATTGTAAATGGAAAAACAGCACTTTGAACAACGTTCAGCCTCCCACGTCGTAGATGACGTGAGACAAGGATCGAATCGAACAGACTTTCAAATCCTATTGAAATGCCAATATGAGATGCTCTAAGAGGGATCGATCAACAACCAATTGTGTACTTTGCACTTTCAC